CTGGAGCAATCGCTCAGGATCCATTCAACTTTATCAGTCTTGTACACACTTTGTTCAACAATGCCGAGCCTTGATCAAGTGGGTACCTTTGAATCCCTAAAATATGTTGGATTTTTTTTATGATACAAGAGTCTGAATGAAATAAATCTGCATTGTATACAGCATACCCATTTCTTCTTGCATACCCAGCAATAAAAATTCCACAGGGATTCAAACCCTTCCTCATCATATCCAAAAATGTAAAAAAAAAGTGTTGGCTGGAGTGCTAATTTAAGGCAGACTTTCAGGTCCCATTCACATTAGGCGATTTGAAATCTCGGGCAGTATTGCAGCAATTTTTCCTGCACTTTCAAAATGCATGACACACATTTGGGTGCCATTATTCTTAATGGCACCCCAAATGCGGTTTGATTCTGCCACAGTTGTCATGCGACAGAATTGTGCGGCAATCGGGGCAAAATGCGTATTTTTGCCCAAAAAGGAGCAGGAGCTTGGACAACAAATACACATAGGGCAGCCCATTAAAGTGAATGGGCTGTTCTATGTGCAACATAAGGAAACACATGTAAATCATGATTTGAAAATCTCAACACTCGTTCCCACAATGCCCCATGTGAACCAGGTCTCACTCTCAGTGCCATAATTTCCTACATTTTAATGATCACACTTAGTAGATATAGAAAAAGACAGAGGTGGAAAAACGTTTTTGTGCTGTTTGCTTCTACATGTGGAGGAGATTTCTCTATCGCACCACTTATGGAATCACTTACCGAGGAAGGGTAATGTGACACTGCTTTCAGTATTTTGACATCTATTGTTTCTACCAATGCAACCAATATTGATGTCAGGATATATTGAATGTTTATCTCTGCGTCATCCTTTGTTTTTTTGCTGCTCTGTTTCGATGATGCCAGTGGTTTGGGCATCCTGAACTCGATGACAACCCTCCGCAGTGACCCCTCATGATGGCAGCACAATCTACACATTTGTCTTTTATCTCTGCAGACTTTATGCATTTTTTGGATACATCAAACTAGAAAAACTCTTGAACCTGAAAGCACTTATCCCTGAAGAAGATATTTGTAATCTTGAAACGCGTCAGTGTTGCTACATGACCATACATTGGTATAGGTTCTGTTACTTTGTATACGCACCTGCAATTGTCTTCCATCATATGGTCGCCTCTTCATATATATATATATTTTTTATATTATGAATGATGTCTTTTATACTATTTTCAGTAAACTAAAGAATGTTTTATTATACATGACCAATGCTGGTCACATGTTCTTTGTCAAAGAAGCTATTTAGAGGCTCTAAAAAATATATACATAATATAAATCAACTGACAAAAAAGGAAAATAAAAAAAATGTAATAATACATTTTTTCTTTTTTTTCTTCCTTTTTTTTTTTCTATTTTTTTCTCTATTTCCTTTTTTGTCAGTTGACTTATATTATGTGTATACTTGTTTGCGCTATTTTTCTTTTTTCTTATTTATGTTATTAGTGGAATCACTAAGGAGCAGCAGCATTATATATTTGAAATTATTTTACACCAATTTTGGCGCTGGTGGATTTTGTAGTATTATTGTATTTAGAGACTCTGCTTGAACACGGGTCCGCCCTTTCAGCAGGGACCACCTAACCATTATTACAAGAGTTTTTTTGGAAGAAGCTATTTAAACTTTTGATGCAATGAAATATATATAGCATGAAATCTGCGTCACTACTGTGAATGGCGCTGTTCTCTGTATCTCTGCATCCTCTTTATGTGGGTCCAGTACCACTAGCTATCATAACACATTTCTCAGTTGGCATTCATTTCAGGATGGATTTTTGTGGTTTTTAATCTCTACAGTTTTGTGCGTTATCATATTATTATTATACAGGATTTATATAGCGCCAACAGTTTGCTCAGCGCTTTACAATATAACGGGAGACGATACAGCAACAATACAGTTCAATACAAGAGGGTTAGGAGGGCCCTACTCCTTGCACATGTCATCAGATGCGTTTTTGTGCACTAATGCATGTTTTTGATGCATTCCCCTGCATGCTCTTACCTGCATGAAATAAATACAAAAAAAACTGTCTGCTGATTGTATGATATGTATGATTTACATGCTCTAGATGAACATTAAACTACATTACCATTCATTTCTATGGTCCCACAAGGCACATTGAAGCAATACATTTAATTTTTCATCACGTACTGCAGTGCTGTTATTGAATAGGTTTTATGATTTGGATGACAATTTTATGTGTGTATTTTACCTGCGGGGACTGACTGTATAATACCAGCGGGAACCATTTAGATGTAACTGCAGCCTGAGTGCAACAAAAATGCATGTTTGTGAATCAGGCCTTAAAGGGGGCACCTTAGTCTCACCAAGGGTAATGATTACAATAAAAAAAAAAATAAAAAAAATATTAAATTGAATACAGGTCTGATTTAACCTAAATGCAATTGGTGGTTAAAGCAGTAATAAACCCAAAAGCAAACATTTAATATATTGCAGCGTATCAGTTCTTAAATGTAATGGCTGCATTAGTTTTCATTTTTAGGCTTTCTTTCTTCTATTTTCATTTGGTAATCCAGCCAGCAAGCCTTTTCACATCACAAACTCTTCAGCAGAATGTGTCAGTTTACATGGATGAGACAAATCACTTAACATTGGCGGGGGGGGGGGGGGGGGGGGGCTGTTAAAATGATCAGCTTTTATTTATCCATGCAAATCCTTTATCCCAAATTGAAAAAAAAGAAAACATTGCTGTAACTGATTAGAAAGTATCAATCAAAATAATTAAATAATTACCGCGCTCTAATACCAGTAAAAGTGCAAAGTGCTTATGAAAAGAATAAAAATAAATTTATATGGTGATTGATGTGAATAAATAATAACATTAAATAAAATAAATTAAAATAGTGATACCATAATATCAAATCGCTAAAGGTGCAATACTCATAAATGTGCAAATGTTCCATAAATAAACCACAAAGAAATATATGATGAAATAAATATAAAATATTTTGGTAATAAATGATCTGATAAAAGTCAACAATACTGTCCCAAGTGCAACTGCGCAAATGAATTTCCAGCAAAAACTGATATACTCTCCTTCGGCATAAAGATGGGATATTTGCAGACTGTGTAGCTGCAGGGCTGTGAGGGATACTTAACATTGGCAGGGGGGGCTGTTAAAATGATCAGCTTTTATTTATCCATGCAAATCTTTTATCCCAAATTGAAAAAAAAGAAAACATTGCTGTAACTGATTATAAAGTATGAATTAAAGTTTGGCTTCAATTGGTTAGTGGTTTTAAATTTGCTAGCAGATTTAACACTACTTCCCCACCCCCAAGACTGACAATGCCGCTGTCTGCTTTGTCTCCTGTGCTCATTCCTCCAGAGTGGTGTCTCACTAATACAGGACGTTTGTTAGTGGCCAGATCACCAGGTGAAAACAAAGGGGAAAAAGCCAAAGAATAGAAAACTGATATAGAAACCACATATAATGATTGGTAAGCTGTAGTATATTACATTTTTGATTCTGAGTCTATTAATGTTTGAAGTGCGCAGGTACATTTCAAATATATAGAAAGTGCAGCGCTAAAATATGTGAATGATATTATAGTGAACATAAAGTGCAAAGTCAATCTGACGTATAGCGAAAAAAAAAAATAAAAATTGATCAGCGGAACAGTCAAGTGCAGCATATAAAAATCAAATATAAAAAATGTTCAATAAATCATTCAATAAATGTGAAGCAGTAAAGTTCAGCATAAAAGTGAGACTATATAAAGTCCATAAAATATCAGTGGAGTAAGAGCTATAAATTGTCCATAAGGATATAAGTACAGAAATCACGGTGAAATATTGTGAAGTGATCCAATAGGGAATCCACCACCTCTGTCAGATGTACACTCACCAGACATCTACTGGTAAACAGCATGTAAGCACATCTCATCTGGGTACAGGTAACAGTGATGAAGCCTCTGCAAGGGATGCTCAGCCAAGGGTAAAAACTATTATTATTACTTCAGGTGCTTATATAGCGCCGTCAATTTTCCCAGCGCTTTACATTTATATATATATTGTACATTCACATCAGTCCCTAACCCTCAAGGGGCGTACAATCTAAAGTCCCTAACTTACATTCATTCATACATACTAGGGCCAATTTAGACAGGATCCAATTCACCTACCAGCATGTCTTTGGAGTGTGGGAGGAAACCGGAGTACCCAGAGGAAACCCATGCAGGCACAGGGAAAACATGCAAACTCCAGGCAGGTGGTGCCATGGTTGGGATTCGAACCAACGACCCTAGTACTGCCAGGCAGAAGTGCTAACCATTTAGCCACTGTGCTGCCCCAACACTACACTATATACTACTTTTGGCTCCTGTGGTGAGATATTCCTCATATGAGAAGGCTTACCAGATAAATGACCCCCTTGTTGCGGGCTACTTCCAGTGCACAATGACATCCATGGGAGGCAGTTATTAATGCGTTTTGTCATCAAAAGGACATCATTCCTAGAAGATGTCCTGTTGATGAAGACATGCATGGGACGGAATCTTCCATTGCCATCAACGTGTACCGAAAGTAAACCGGAAGTGCAAGCTTTTTGCCAGCTGGGTGATTATATTGAGATGCAAATTTTTTTTTAAATACCTGTAAGTGCAATTTTATACCAATAAATACATTGAGTGGTTATCTACACCATGAAGAGGATATATATGCCTACTTTTGGATGGATCTGAGCTATTGGAAGATATATGGGTGGAGCTGGAGGCCAACACGTCACGTATTTGCGAATGAGCGCTCCTGATTTTGACGTAATCCTGGTAAAGCGGAGTCTAGCGGAGTTTTGTACCTTCTTTTCAATAAATATTTAATTGGATTTACACTATTGGAGCTTTCTCCTCTCTCCCTTATATGAATGTTACGTCATTATTACCCTTTTATGGGAAAAAAGAGTTGGTGTTAAAGTGTTACTAAACCCACAACCGTAAAATCAGTCTGTATATGCAGTAAAGTATGCTTGTTATAATCACTGTGGAACCTAAGGGGTTAATCCTCTGCATTGTGTAAAAAGGCTGTTAGATCCTTTCTTCTTTGCCCCTCCTCTTGTTGAAATGACCCCCTGATACAGACTCAAAGTAGTCACATGCACATGCTCAGTTTGGTGTGTATTGGTAGTTTCCAAATGGTCAGTCCACCCCTGTGAACTGTATCATTGCTGTATTGTCTCCATTTATATTGTAAAGTGCTAAGCAAACTGTTGGCACTATATAAATCCTGTATAATAATAATAATCCTGTCTTCTCTGATCCTCCCCTTCTTTTACTGTTCCCAATCCATCTGCTGATAGAACACAGCCTTGGGGGCAAGCTGTACATGCTCAGTTTGGTTTGTATTTCTAGAGAGTTCTTTTTTCTTGGGAGAGTGCATGTGATAAGCACAGGGCCAATCAGCACTGTCCAGACAGAGGTCTCAGATTCTGCATCCTCCTAGAGCAGAAAGAAAACTCCTCCTACAAGCTTTAACCAGTGCTCTGCTGAAGTCTCAAGACTGCTCTAACTGTTGATGAGAAAAGGTATTTAGCAGTTTATATTTACTAAAATAATTGCACTTCCATGTTGTGTGTACTGTGGGAGACCAAATATAGTGAATGCAGGGTCCGGGGTTTAGGAACACTTTAAGAATTTCACCTGCTGATGATCGGTTGGCGGCTGGTGCTTCAGTCTATGAAGCTTCTGTTGACTTCTCTTATGAGGGTCACAGGGCGTCTGGTAAGCTTTTTGAGCCGCTTTTTGATTATTATTCACACGTGGTGATTCCATCTACACCAGGGGTGGGCAACTGTGGCCCTCCAGCTGTTGGTGAACTACAAGTCCCATCATGCCTCTGTCTTTGGGAGTCATGCTTGTAACTTTCAGTTTTGCAATGCCTCATGGGACTTGTAGTTCTACAAGAGCTAGAGGGCCACAGTTGCCCACCCCTGATCTACTCGAGTCTGGGAAAGAGGACCATCGATTTCTTATCATTTAATGCACTGGGTGGCAGTTATTTACAACATATGGACTTTTTGTTATTTGTGTTATTATCCATTTCCGCATTCATTTTTTAGCACTGCACAATTGTTTATATGCTTGTGGAATATAGTGTATCCTATATTTGGTACTGGCAGCTTTGTTTTTTAATTTATTTCTCATATTTGTATTATTCACATCTTTTCACTTTTAGCGCGGCTTTTATATATTTATTGGAAGATAGAAGTAGCAGGTTTAAGGAACAATCCAGATGGATATCCCTGAGACCAGTGAGGGGACATGCCACTAATGATTGGTATATACTGGCTGAGCGTATATTGACACTCTGAACAGGGGGGTCATTTCTATCTGATAAGCACACATCTAGTTAGCATTCTTTGTGATGGCGGATACTGCTGACACTTGTGACACTGTTTATGAAGAAGGAAGAGGTTCACTTATCTTGCACATTTAAAAGGGACTCTTTCTAATTTATTTTAACTTTGATTTTGGTTTCAGGTTAAACGGGAACTTTTTTTTTTTCTGATCCTATATGGACACTATTGGTTTTATATTGGTATTTTATTGAGTTAAAACATTTTGAGTGCATTTGTGTTTGAACAATGTAATCACTGATTATTTTTTAGTGCAACGCAAGTAATTTATAGTTTGACATTGGAAGGAATATCTTCTTTTGTGTTTGCAGCTTTTTATAATTTGTGCTCACTTTGCGCAGTTTGCATGTTTTGTTTAACCAATTCAATACCATGCAATTTTACACCTTCCTGCCCAGGCCTGTTTTCAGGTTTCAGCGCTCTCACACTTTGAATGACAATTGCGCGGTCATACAACATTGTACCCAAACTAAAATTTTATCATTTTCTTCACACAACTAGAGCTTTCTTTTGGTGGTATTTAATCACCGCTGGGGCTTTTATTTTTTGCTATATTAACAAAAAAAAGACCAAAAATTTTGCAAAAAAACACATTTTTCTTTGTTTCTGTTATAAAAGTTTGCAAATAAATAATTGTTCTTCATAAATTTAGGCCATTTGCCGATGATGACATTTGCCGGCCGCCATTCGGTCATAGGGCGGGCAGCAAATGGTTAATCAATGAACATCCTTTCTCCACCTGCAAGCTTTTCCACATACCTTCCCCTCTGGTCCCCAGTATCTGAAACATGTTAGATTGACAGTGCTATACAGGCGTACCTTGGTTTACGAACGCCTCAGTTAATGGAATTTTTGGTTTACGAATGAAAATCCATTGAAAATAATGCCTCGGTTTTTCTGATTTTTTTCGCAATATAAAGCAAGTTTCCCCAGGATGCATTGCACCTGGAAGGTTTATAGCGCCGGCCCGTGCCTTTAAAGTGAACTTTATAAAGAGTTTTAAACAGATAAGCCTTTTTTTTTTTTACTTTTTTCTGACCTCCGGAAAGGATTAATTGGTTTTCATGAATTTGCTAATTTTTTTCGCAATACAAAGTAAGTTTCCCCAGGATGAATTGTGCCTGGGGGGTTTATAGTGCTGGCCCCGTGCATGCTGGAGCCTGTGGGTAGCACGTGGCGTTGAATGTGGAGGTATTGGAGTGGTTTTTTGCATCAAGTTTTGGAGTCATTCTGGAAATCTTTTCATCATGTCCCTGTACAGTATTTACACCTTTAAAGTGCACTTTATAAAGAGTTTTGAACAGATAAAATACTTTTTTTTACTTTTTTCAGACCCCTGGAACGGATTAATTGGTTTTCAATGTATTCCTATGGGAAACCGCATTTCGGTTTACGAATGTTTCACAATACGAAACGTTCCGGAGAACGCATCAAATTCATAAACCGAGGTATGCCTGTATACTAAAAAAAGCCTGACACAGGCACATCCATTTACAGCCTGTATGCAGGGACTTGTGAGAAATTAGTATCAAGACAGGTTTCAGGTAATTAGGCGAACAGCTTTTAAAAATATTTAATGAAATTGACAATTAGATTAAACTTTTCATAAACCTTTCTAAAGTTCTTCTTTAAATATAAAATAAAACTAGCACATAGTCTTCCTTCTCACAACGCTGGTGTTGCATAATCCCACTTTCTGTTACAATGTAAAGGGTACCTGTTATTTACATATTACGCAGACTTCCGGTACAACTGAGCCCCATTATGTCTGTCCATAACAGCTCCTATCAAAATGATGCATGCAGAAGATTGTTTCATTTTTGTAAGTAGTTTATTGACTTGCTTGATGTTCGTATTGTATTACTTGCAAAGCAATGAAAATATTGTTTCAAAAAAAAAAAAAAATGAAAGTAGTATTAGTACATATGGTATAATGCAAACTGGCCTAGGGAAAGAAGACAACACAAGGTGCCAGTATCTACAGTACTTACCTCTCATAGTGTCCGCTCTGTCAAACTCTACATCACTAGAACTGGTCCCCTGAAGTTTGATGGAAAACTGATACTTCCGGGAGGGTCGATCTCCTGGGCCCCCCCCCCCCCCCCCAAGGCCCTTACTAATTCCTCCTCCTGACTGAAGTGGTAGCATAAGGTCAGAAGGAGAAACCATTAAGACCTTTGGGGGGACCCAGAAGTTCGACCCTACCAGAGGTGTCCATTTTCCAGTTGACTTCAGAGTATCGGTTCTAGTGAGTTCGGTTCGGGAGTTTGGCTAGGAAAGGTGAGTACTTTATACCTACTGTTAAAGGTGTGAAGGATTCATTTTTAGAAACTCTTTTGTTAAAATAAAAATAACAATGTGCCCCGCACAAAGAAGATGGTCCACACCTAGCTCTCTCCCTCTGCCCACCCATCTGCTCTGTACTGGAGAGATACAGCTGTCTAATGAATTTTCAGCATCTGGCACATTCTGGGAGTCTAGTCCCCTCCTCATTCAGTGCGTCTATCCCTTGGCCCCCTGTGTCCTGTAGTGGCCAACAAGAGGAACCATGGACTGCAATGGAGTACTAGGAAACTGACACTTCAGGAAGTGTCAGATTCTGAAGACTCTTCAGGCACCTGAATCTCTCCAATAGGTGGGATGGACGGTTGGAGAGGTAAGTATGAACCCACTTCTTTGTAACAACTCTTTATTATTTTCATTTTAATTCTAGTGACAGGGTTGCTTTAAACAGAGTAAAAAGCATACAACAAGCCCTCAGCAAGCACTGTACAACACCAGTCATGTGAATCTGCCTGGGGGTCATAATGTCATGTAACAGGGAGTCACCCTGCTCAGTTTTTTTTACTTTTATGCAAATGAATCAAGGTATTTTCTGACAAATAAAACCTGTACAACCAGAGTTACTAAGAACACTGCCAGAGGCTGTAAGGCAAAGCATGCTGTAACTTTATCTGCAGCTTCACAGCACCACCTTATTGTAACCATAGAGCTTTGTTTGCTACGCTATCAATATCAGACTGTGAAATCATCAGTGAACTATGAAAGTTAAAGATTAACTGCGATGAAAAGTGGAAAAATGATTCTTGGTAGAATTCCCTTCATTTTAAATGGCGACAGTGGTAGATTCTTTGTACCATGGGCTGACTTCTGTTCATGGATCATACATGCAGACCTATGCAGATCTACGCACTGCAGCCCTCTAATGTGATAAAAAGAAAATGTTGCATGTCTGTTTTATCTGCATCCATAACATCTGTGAATGCATGAAACAACGCATGTTAACAGCTCTAAAGTGTGGATGGGCTCTAGGGGTTAGGGTACACAGACATTTGTATTTTGCTTCTGACGTGGGTTTATGACAGTGGTCTCCAAACTGCGACCCGGGGGCCAGATGTGGCCCTTTCCTTGCCTTTATCAGGCCCTTGGGGTGCTATGCAATGCATTGATACAAGGCATTATTCCTTCTGATGACACCAACAATGGGGTATAATTACTGTTACTGATACCAACAATAGGGCACTATTCCTACCAATGACACCAATCATGGGGCACTATTCCTACAACTGACACCAATCATGGGGTACTATTCCTACAACTGACACCAATCATGGGGAACTATTCCTACAACTGACACCAATCATGGGGTACTATTCCTACAACTGACACCAATCATGGGGCACTATTCCTATTCCTACAACTGACACCAATCATGGGGCACTATTCCTACAACTGACACAAATCATGGGGCACTATTCCTACCACTGACAGCAATGTTATGGAACTATTCTTCCCACTGACACCAATGATGGAGCACTATTCCTTTCCATAATACCAACAATGGGGCATGAATCCTTTCCCTGATCCGAATGATGGGGCACTATTTATTTATCTATTTTTTTCAGGTACTTATATAGAGCTGTCAATTTACGCAGCGCTTTACATATATATTGTACATTCCCATCAGTCCCTAACCCTCAAGGCCCGTACAATCTAAAGCCCCTAACTTACATTCATACATACACATACTAGGGCCAATTTAGACAGAAGCCAATTAACCTACCAGCATGTCTATGAAGTGTGGTGTACCCG